TGTCCGACTGGCTGCTATACCCAGCACAGCTCCTTTTCTTCAGGCCGGTTGTCACTAATGCCATGCTGTCCTTGAATTACATTGCTATCTTGTGGGGAGGAAACAGCAGCTACTGATTTTCTCAAGATTACACAAATTATGGTAACTGCTGAGCTGATCTATTCCCATGGATATCTACTAGGAGGTCATCTGAAAACTACTAGCTGGCTGCTAGATAGAAAATTTCACACGGGCGTCATCAGTTCAGTTGCATGAAAAACTGATGAATACTCAGTCAGTTTACATCAGTTTGCACATCTTTCTTCAATTTAGCTCAATTAAGCTCCTTTCACAAGCCCAGTCCACTCGGGTTCCGCCTGAAAATCTTACAGGCGGATGACCAATGCAAGTTTTTGGCAGCCGTGTGTAAACAGACTAACGTCCGTTTACACCTGGTTACCCCCACTTCCATCCGGGTCCAGAGAAACAGACGGATCAGAGATCCGTTTCACCGGTCCGGATAATGCCAGATGTACGTTTCCATCAGATTCCTCATAGACTAACATAGGGTCCGGCAGTTTCCGTTTTTTCCTCCATCGCAAGGACATGGATGCCACAGCAGTGCCATCTGCTCCTTACTGCTGTGATCAATAGAGGATCTGTGCATAGATCCACTCCTGATCAGCCCATGTGAAAGGGGCCTTACAGTTATGTTTATTGCCCGTTTCACACGAGTGTTCCAATCAGGTTTTCAGGATGGTCCCTTTCACACAGACTGATCAGGAGAGGGTCCATGCATGGATCATTGCCTTCAGTTCCAATCAGCAAGGGGTCCATGTATGGATCCCTCTACTGATGGGAATTGATGTCATTATTGTGACACTCATGTCCGCCCAGTTTTTTCCTCCATGTTGTGATGGAGGAAAAAACGAAAAATTACCGGATCCCTATTGGTCTATAGGGAATCGGATGTAAAATTATGTGTATCTGTTTATAACAGACTAAAACTTTTGTTTTTCTGGGCCTGGCCAGAGACGGATGCCCATCTGTTTAGATCCGGTTGCCCGTAGACTTAGATTGGGCTTCCACTCAGGTCCGTCTGAAAAATTGACTATGTCAAAAGACTCTAAGTCTTTTCTGTCATAGATGCTTCTTCCTGACTGTGAGCACTTTTGTTTACATCAGATTACCACTGATCTGCCACCATCAGGTCTGCCGAAACGGAACTCTGATCCATTCGTTTTTACAGGTCTGGCCGGAGTCGAGAGTAATCGGAAATAAACGTACAATTATACATATATCTATGGGAAGATTCCATATACCTACCAAAAGTGTCATTCTACATTAAAGCATCTTATAATAATGTTTGCTGTTTTGAAAAGCCAGAATAAAGACAAAGAAATTGTAGAAAACAATTCTGGGTTTCATTTCTGGCATATAAACACGTAATCCCTGGGAATGATATTAAAAGTTTGGTAACTATGTTGACTTTACTTGTATTTTAGCAACTATGATTGTCTAATACATGTGTAGCCACTTTGCCTTGAGTGGAGTGACTACTTAAATTTAGTTTGCTAAGACTGCATCCTGTCTGGCTGGTTGTATAGTCTATGCTCATTTGGTTTTCCCTAATGGTTCTGTTATTGTTTGTATATGCCTGCTGCTGGTTGTAGACTTTCAGCAGAGCAACCAATAATAGAATGCTATGGATATCTGTGCCTCTCCAGCCAAACACTAGGAGTTTCATGGCTAGTGGTGCATGCTGGGAGAGGACATAAATATTGAAGTCTGAACATGTCAGAGTCTTTCTTCCGCATGGGCCTCCAGCCTTGGGGAGGTGTGTTACGTGTGTGCTGTCTGACCATGCCTGGAGCCTCCGGGTGGTGAAATGTGGACCAGAGTTGTTCCTAGGATGGAGAGCCAGGGATGGGCTTGGACCTCAGAGAGAAGTCTGGTGTCTCATAGAGGAAAGATCTCAAAATGGCTGCCAGCTATGGTGCTTTAACACAATGTCACTACACCTTTGGCTTGAAGACCCTCTTCACTGTGAAGCTAAGTAATCATTTGGTGAGACTGGAGTTTTGTATTCCTAAGATGTCTGCAGCCACATACCCTCTCTCAGTGTTTTGCTGTTCTAATAAAGCATCCTAAAAACATTCTAAAAAGGGACTGTTGCCCTATTTCACTCCACACATTCCAGCTAAGGATCCATTCCTGAAGTGAAATGTCAGCCCCTCCTGCCGCTAGAATCCGGGGGGTGGGGAGGGGGGGGCGCTAAGTATTTGTTTTAGCAAAACAATTTTGTATTCGAAGACAAGTTAGCATGTACTACCTGTAGTAGTGTGTACTTTAGAGGAGGACTGGATGTGACCTCTCAGGCAAATGAACATATACTGTTTATATATGTATATTATGGTGTTGCATAAAAAAATTATATTATTATTGTGTTATTTTTAAATCACATTGTGGCTTCAATTAAAGCTGAACGATGCTGAAGGTACAAACCTTTTGATTTAAATATATTTCTCAGCAGCCACAAAGGATATACATCCACTTTGTTTGCACCAAATGTGTTTGGAAACTTAGCGATTATTGTGTAAGGGCCCATACCTATTCCAGTGCGTTCCATCTTGGCTGGCTCCCTGTGTTCTGGGGTGGAAGTGGGCAGTCCATTCAAGTCAATGTCACAACAGTCATGCCCCCCCCCCCAACAGTATG